CCCCCGCGCCCGGCCGGGCCTGGCGCCCCCGAGTCTGCGGAGTTTGTGGAGCTCCCGCCGTTTAAATTTAGCGCTTTGGGCTGCCCGAGCCCGGGCTCGCGGCGGGAGGGAGGATGGGGGCGGCGCGGGGCACCCACGTCCCACCCGGGCGTCTGCGGGCGCGGGCCGCCTCTCCCAGGGGTCCCGAGCCGGGCCCGGCCGGCGTGTTCCGGCCCCACCGGCGCCTGCGGTTGTTTTGCACGCAGAGCCCTTGTTTTTGTTCTCGGCACGGGGGCGGGTGGCTCCCCGAGACCCGGTGGGCCGAGCGCGGCTTCCACGCGCGAAACTGATCGCGTCCGGCGTGGCCTCGGCCCGGAGGGTGGGGCGGGACACTGCCCCGGCCGCGGCGGGGTCGCGATCGGAGGCGGCCCCAAGGCCAGGCCCGGCGCGAGCCGATCGCCCCATTGGGTCGGACTTGCTCAAAACTCCCCGCTCTCTGATTTCAACTTTATTATTTTTTTTCCCACGGCTTCACTAGGGTCTGGGAGGGGGAGGAGCAGCCGCCACGGTGTCCCCTAGTGTCAGCGCCCGCGGGCTTGTCCTGACCCTTTATTTAAAGCCTCCGTCCCAGTCAGGCCCAGACATGCTGTTTATATTTGGGGGTGTCATTTCTTGAGGAGCGCCCAGGTCTCTGCAAACCAAGGGGGGCCTGCCTCTGGTCCGGCCTGGCGGTGTCACAAGTTAGCTGTCCTTTCTGAGTCAAATCCAACAAAAAAAGGCGAGAGGGAAATCAATAAAGTCCACGTGCTCCCGGGCCTCCTATGGAAAGGGCCGCTGCGGTGGCCGGATGCCCGGCCGTGGGCAGGGTTTGGCTCCAACGGGACAAAGAATTTTCACAACCCTGAGAGGGGAGGCTTTCCAAAGTTGAGAGCCAAGGCCTGGGTGCTGTGGGGGGCTCCCCGGCTGTCCAGGCCGGCCCAGGGGCCAACTGGAGCCATTTAAAAATGGCAGAAACAGCTGCAGGCCAAAGCACACCCTGGAAAACAGCCTGCCATCCCCCCCCCTGGCCGGTGGGACTCCCTGGTGAAGGTTGGGGTGGTCTCACCCCCATGTGAAGAAGGAACTAGGGTGGAGGCCAGGGTCCTCTGTGTCTCCCCGGCTTGTGGGGTGGGAAGGCCCCGGCAAGCTGCCTTTCTCTTTTCTCCTTCTGGAGGCGTGGCGGGCCTCCTGCCCCAGGTTGCAGCCCCGGCCCAGCCTCCTGTGTCGGTGACAGCTGTGCCCTGAGCCACCAGCTGCTCTGCGAAAAGAGCAGATGGAGGGGCCGGGGCTCCCCGCTCTGGGACATAACCTAGTTGCCCAGGCCCGGGGCTGAGAAGGGGAAATGGCCCACCTATCCCTGCCTTCTGGAAGCAGGGCTGAGCTCAGGCTTGGGGTCTCTGGGTTGGCCTTTTCTTGTGACCTTGGAACGGAGGGGCTCATTTCTCTAACCTGGCTGTTAAAAGGACAACTCAGTGCTCCAACCCGCGATCCTTATTGTGAAAGGGACTTTAGAAACTTGGCTTTGCCTTTTTTTTTTGGGGGGGGGGATTCCTTTTAAGTGGGCCTCTTTAGTGCCAGGGTTTCTCCAGCCCCAGAGAGGCTGAGCCCAGCCTTGTGCTTTTGGATTAGGTCAGGGTTGTTTATTAACTGTGACCACCAGCCATCCATTTCACCAAGGGCAGGGGTGTGTAGTTGCCAGATTTAGCAAATAAAAATACAGAACACTCAGTTAAATTTGTATTTCAGATAAACAAAATAAGTTTTAAAAATAAATCTTACTAGCCAGGTGTGGTGGCTCACTCCCAGCACTCAGGAAGCTGAGGCAGGAGGATTGCTGGTGAAGTCTAGGCTAGCTTGGGCTACGTGAGGCATGTGGCTCAGGGGTAGAGCACATGCTTATTATGCACAAGGCCCTGGGGTTGATCCCCACCAAAAAAGAAAAAAGCTTTCTTAGTATAAAAGTATAGCTCTGCCTCTTCCTCTTCTTCCTTCTCCTTCCTTCCTTACTTCTTTCATCAGGAGAAAGGGTTCCATCTGGCTTCAATTTTCTGTTCAAAAAAAAAAGGATATCCTATGCCATATTTGGGACCTATTTATACCAGAAAATTACCACTTACCTGAGGTGCCCATGTGAGCAGGTGGCTGTATTTTACCCAGAAGAGAGCTGGGGTGTCAGGTATCCCCACTGCCCCTAAGCTGGGGGTAGTCCCAGCTTCTAAGCCCAGGACCCCAACACTTACCCCCCTCCCCAGCCCTGCCTGTGGGCTCCGTCTGTCACCACCAGGGGCCTCTGATCTTTTGTCCTGTGTCCTGGCAGAGCAGGTGGCAGGAGAGGGCTGAGGGAAACAAGATGTGGGGTCCCCACTGGAGGGACCTGGCTGGAGGGGTAGGGATGACGCTGGGGAGACAGCGCTGGAGGTTCAGACCTTGGGATCTGGTGCACACCCTCTGGGGCTTGCTCGCCGGGCCTTGTTAGTATGCAGCCAGCATCAGCCAGGCCTCCTGGGGAGCCGGTGCCCCTGAGGGACTCGGAGCACTCTGCAGACCTCAGAGTCACCCTGGGCAGTGAGTGACCCCAAGATGGTCTCCTTGTTTGGTCCTTGTCATTTCTGTAAGAGCCCGTGCTGGGAGGAAATGTTGGGAGATAGCCTGGGCGTGGGGAGCTTCCTGCTTTTGTCACAGTTCCCAAGTCTGAAGTCTGACCAGGGCCCATCGAGGCAGGGGGTGTGCAGAGTACTCAGTGGTGGTGGAGAATCCTAGTGGGGCGCCTGTAGGGCCCGGGACTGGTGGGAGCTGTCGTGGGCTATCGGAAGCAGGCTGTACTCCCCCAAGCCCGTGCCCTGAATCAGGTTTTATTTATGTATTTATTTGGAGACAGAGTCTTATGATGTAGCCCGGGCTGGTCTTGATTCTCAGTGATCCTCCTGCCTCAGCTTCCCAAGTGCTGCGATTACAGGAGTATACCACCATACCCCAAAACATATTTTTAAAATAGGCAGAAATCTGGATTTTTATATGGAATCTGTTTTTGGTTTTGTTTCAGTTTTGCAATTTTTTAAAAAACATGTTTATAAGTATTGTGCAGGCCAGAGCAAACATGTCCAGTGGCTCCTTGTCTGTCCCCCTAGCCAGAAGATGACTGCAGCCTGGACCAGGTGTTCTGGGCAGATGACTTTGGGGCAGTTGTGAGAAATCGCAGCTGGGCCGGCTTGCTGCTTCTAGGAGTCCCATGTCTGGGAATCCTGCATTGTTTCTTTTGTCTTCTTTCGTAGTGGGATTGAACCCAGGGCCTTTGCATTGAGCTACATCCCTAGCACGCTCTCATTTTAAAATTTTGAGACAGGGTCTCGTAAAGTGGCGAGAGGCTGGGCGCAAACTTGTGAACCTCCTGCCTCAGCCTCCTGCAGGTCAAGTTCTCAATGTCTGCCTCTGCCCTGAACCCTCTCAGTGTCCACAGCTAGGGATGCTCATCCTAGGGGAACTTGGGGACTCGGCAGAGGGCCGGGGGAGCCTTGAGCTGGTGGCCTGAGCGCTGGTCCCTGCAGGGAGGGCAGCAGCTCCGGCATTATCTCAGCTCGTTGCCCCCTGCATGCTTGCCGCCCTCAAGGATGTCCCATGAGATACAAGTCACTTCCAACCCCATGTGTTGTCTTACTGGGCCTAGTCCGAGGAGGCCGGTGAGTAGCTGTGGGCAAGAGCCTGGGCTCTGGTGGTGCGGCGTTGCTTTGGGGCATCTGTCGCGCACGTGTTCCTCAGAGTGGACCTAGAGTGTTCACAGGGACAGGAGAGTGGGAGGTGACCTGAAATCCCAGCACTCGAGGCTGAGCCAGGAGGAACTGTGAGTACAAGGCCTGCCTAAGCGACATAGTGAGACTCTGTCTCAAAGGAAAGAAAAGGTGACAGGGCAGGGGCCTGACAGCTGCTCCACAAAGCAGCCCAGTGTTGGGGCTTTGGAGAACCAGGTTCCCTTCCCTTCCTTAATTTCTTTATCTGTCAAGTGGGACAGAGGTGTTTCCCACCACGTAGGTTATGGCGAGATCAGAGTGGCAGTCTGGTGCTTGGCATCCTGGAGATGTCCCTAGTGCCAGGATGGAGCCAGGCCCTTGTGCCCACTGGTGGGGCGTGGGGCTGGGGGTATCTGTTGTTCTGGTGGCTCTTCAGGGTGCACTGGGCATGTACTTGTGTGGGGAGACCCACGGGCAGTTTGGGTGCAGAGACCGAAATGAGTGTGGCACACACGTGGTCCCAGCTAGACAGGAAGCTGAGGCAGGAGGATCATACGGGGGCTGGGGTGTTGACTGGTGGTGGAGCGCTTACCTAGTGTGTGCGAAACGTGGGCTTTGGTGTGCAGCACAGACGGAAAAGTGTCAGGCAGCCTGGTGGGCACAGAGGTCCTCAGGCCACTCCTGTTCTCAGTCACAGTGGGACCACTCACCGGCATTGCTGGGGGCCCGGGCAGCTGTGCCACCTGGACCAGCTGTGTGTCTGGCTGTGATAGCCTCTGGGGTCCCTTGCATCAGCCAGACTCTGTGCTGGGCCGTGGTGGGTCCCCAGTGACCTTGGGGTTCAGTCCCCAGCCTTGCCTCTGGGGCTCCCTGAGCCTGTCCCCTGGTCTGTGGAGGTGGGAATGTGGCTGTGCTTGGTGGCAGGGAGCTGGCACCTCACCTGCCACCCGCTTCCATTGCGCCACCTGTCATTTTCCCTTTCCTAGCTAGGGTCTGGACAGAGTGCCCAAGGTGGGGCTCAGGGCTCCCCACAAGGCCTGGTTCTGCACACCGTCCACAGCCCCCAGTGCTGAGCTGGGGAGACGTCCCTTCCTGCCCTGGGCAGTAGGACCTGTGCCCCTCGGGGTGAGAGGCTCTGGCTCCTGACATCCCTGTCATGGGCTGTTCCTGTCCTTTGCAGGGAGAAGAAGTGGGTCACAGTTGGCGACACGTCCCTCCGAATCTACAAGTGGGTCCCTGTGACGGAGCCGAAGGTTGATGATGTAAGTATATGGGCCTGGCCCCTGGGGTGTGGGGTGAGGGCTGTCACCCACATTTACCTTCTGGGCAGCATAGGACCTGGCTCCCAACCCATGTCCCTACCCTCTGCAGGCCCTCTCACAGAGTGGCCCTCGGGGTACGTATTGTCCCTGCCAGCTGTGTCTTCTGTGCCGGGAGCTGTGGGGATCCAGTTCAGCACAAGGTGGCCCCTCCCCAGGACCCCACCTGCATGGTGCTCACTGACAGGTGACTGGCCCCATGGCTGTGGTGCTGCCTTCAGTACCAGGCCATCTGCCAGCCGTGCCTGTAGGTCACATGAGTGATCGCATCATGCCCTTTTCCTGCTGAGCCTGTGGAGTTGATCTTTAAGGACACCAGCTCAGAGGGATAGTCACCTCCCCAAGCTACACAGTGAGTGTCAGGTCTGCCTGACGCTAAAGTACTCGCCAGAGCCTTCTGGGGGTGACAGCAGGCCCAGGAGCGAAAAGGCAGAGCGCAGCTGCCCTGGGGGGCCTGACATGGATGGAAGAGTGGACGAACAGACAGACAGAGCTGGAGGGTGGCTCTAGCCCCCAGGCCCAAGCCTCCTGCCCTGAGTCTCGGCTCCAGGCAGGGCTGAGGCTCCCGCTGACCCTGCCTTGTAGCTCTCCAGGGTTGCCAGAGCTGGGCATGGGACCCGGGCTGTGCTCTGCCCACTGGTTCCAGCTGGGCTCCAGGGACCACCAGGGCCTGCACCTGTCCCTCTGTGTCCCTGGCGAGGATGCACAGGGACCGAAGACCTGGTCAAGGGCAGGAGCATGACCTCCTGGCATAGCTGTGGTCCCTGCTCAAGGAATTTCTGCTGGTGGAAGATGGTAGAGGCCAGTAGGGCAAGGGGACCGCAGAGGGGAGATTGGCCATAGGCACAGGGAGGTGGGCGGCTCGGGATGCCCAGCCTCGACCCCTCCAGGGGGGTGGAGCAGAGCGCTGAGGCCATGCCAAGTGTCTGGGCCCTGGCACTGTACCTCGGAAACACAGCTCTTCCTGTCTCAAGCCCAGCCCGCCCCCCACTCCAACCCCTCTTTCCCTCAAAATCCAGAGACTGGGAATCTGCATTGCAGAGGGGTGGCTTTAGATCCCCAGTTGTGAGCTCAGCATAGTAGAGGACACCCCTGATCCCATCACTTGGAGTGTGAGGCAGGAGGATCGGAGCAAGTTTTCAAGGCCAGCCTGGGCTACATAGTGAGAACCAAAATACACAAACAAAAACCAAATACCCCTTTGCTGTATGGTTGCGCTATTACTGGTTTTTACTTTAGAAGTGAAATTTTTATTTTTTAGACAAGTGAAGGCCAGGGAGATGGCTCCGTAGAATAAGTGCTTGCCTGACAAGAGGAAGGGCCTGAGTTCAATCCCCAGTTCCAGGAAAAAAAAAAAAAGTGAGATATGTTTCAAAATTTACATGTTACTTTAAGAACAGTTAGGGTTGATGGTTTTATGTCACTGTGTTTTGTTTTGGTACTGGGTATTGAGTCCAAGGGTGCTTTATCATTGAGCTGTAGCCCTAGCCCCCCATCTCTGTTTGTCTGTCTGTCTGTCTGTCTGTCTGTCTGTCTGTCTCTCTGTCTCTCTCCTCCCCCCTCCCTCTCTTCCTCCCTCCCCCCTCCCCCAACCTTCTTTTTATTTTATCTGGAGACATGGTCTCACTAAGCTACCAGGCTGGCCTTGGACTTGTGACCCTCCTGTCTCAGCTTTCCAGTAGCTGGGATCACAGGGCTGTGCCACATGTCTAGTGAAGTAGTTTTTGGTTAAGATGATTCACATATCATAAAATTCATTTTTCTTCCTTTTTTTCAGTGTCTCCGTGTTGGGGACTGAGCCCAGGGCTACTGTAGGCACACAAGGGTAACGTTCCAACCGTGAGCCAAGAAGTCACTCTTTTGTAACACTAGGGGTTCAATCTAGGGCCTTTGTACTAAAGTATATCCCCCACTGTTTTTTGTTTTGTTTTGTTTTGTTTTAATTTTGAGACAGGGTCTCACTAAATTGCCCAGGCTGGGCTGGGATTTGCGATCCTCCTGCCTCCGCCTCCCAAAGTGCAGGGACTACAGGCCTGAACCACCATAGCCTAGTTTCTGGTAAATATTTCCCGCAGACAGCCTTGTTCTCTGTAACTGTTATTTTGTATTACCTCGAAGAAACTTTGTGACCCTGATCGAGTCACCGAGCTCCTCACCCATAGACTCAGCTGTGTGGTTTAACACAGTCGTATCCCTAGCATGAAAACCGGCGCTGGCCTCACTCACTCACGGGCAGAACACTTGCCGAGAGCTGGGCAGGGCCCTGGCCTCCACCTCCAGCACCTTAAAAATGAAAAACTGGGCCACGTGTGGTGGCGCATTCATGGAACCCCAGCACATGGGAGGCTGAAGCAGGAGGGTTGCTGCGAGTCCAAGCCAACTTTAATTACAGGGCAAGGCCCTGTCTCAAAAAAATAAGATGGCACCTGCACCGTGCCCTGCGCGCCTTCCTCGCTGGATTTTCCTTTTCCCTGTGCTGTGCAAAAGGCGGCCTCAGGGCCCTGGTGCCCGGAAATGAGTGGAGAAGTCTGTGCTGCTCCCGGCTCTGCCTGGAGAAGGAGGAGCCCCCCAGCCAGGGCCTCTGGGGCACTGTGCCCAACATGGCGATCACCTCCCCTGCTCATGGCTGGAGCCTTCACCCTGCCGTCTCTGGGAAGCAAGCTGGTGCACACACTGTAGTGACCTGGCTTTCACTCCATTTCCCCTCCAGAAAAACAAGAACAAGAAGAAAGGCAAAGACGAGAAGTGCGGCTCGGAGGTGACCACGCCGGAGCACAGCTCCTCGCCCGGGATGATGGACATGCACGGTGAGTGCCCTCGGCCGGTCGGTTCGCATTCCGGGCGGGCTGTGCGGGCGGCGGGCGGGCACTGTGCCACGCGGAGGAGGAGGGGCAGGGCAGGGGAGGGGAGGGGGAGGGCCGGGCTCCCTCCTCAGCACCACGCCACTGCCACCACTGTGGCCGGGGGACTCCAGGGAGCCAGAGCCTGATGGGGGACTGAGCCCGAGCGGGGAGGTGGTGCCCAGCCGCCGTCAGCGAGGCTGAGGCAGGAGGAGCACCTCGAGTTCAGGGCCGGCCCAGGCTACGCAGGTAGACCTGTCTCGAGAACAAACAAAAGATCCTGTCCTCACCTGGTGGCAGGCCTCCCAGAACGTGTTCGTGGCAGCCCTGTGTGCCCAGGAGCATCCCGGTGTGTGTGTTTCTTGGTCCTGTCTGGCCCGGCCCAGCCTCGCCCGCTGTGTAAGTGGCTGTGGCTTCCCGTCGCTCTGCCACCGGGCCCATGGGTCGCTGGCTCTGCAGCAGTCACTTAGGACCCCGGGCGCTGTCGTCTCCCGCCATAGCCTGCCTTCCTTTCTGAATTCCCTCCTAGCAGAGCCAGTGTGTGTGTGTGTGTGTGTGTGTGTGTGTGTGTGTGTGTAGCTGGGCCCCACCATGCCTTCTGCCCTCTGATCCTTTCTCTCCCTGACTATGCGCTGCTGTTGAGGGAGCACCGGTCTCCTCCCCATGAACCCCACACAGCCCTGGCTCCAGGTAGGCCAGAGCAGAGCACTCCTGGCCCGTCCTAGCAGCATTGCAGGGCTTCATACCGGCGTTTGTATGAAACTAAGAAAGCTTCTGTTCTCGCAGTACTAGGGGTTAAGCCCGGAGCCTCTGCACTGAGTGATGTTCTCAGTCCATTTTGTTTTTTATTTTGATACAGGCACTCTCCAAGTTACCCAGGCAGGACTTGAACTTTTGATCCTCCTGTCTCAGCCTCCCAGAAAGGGGAAAGGTTGATCTTGGCTCTTACTTTTCTTGGGCCGTGGTGGGGCAGCTTGGCACGGCGCGGATGCCACTCACCACTTGGCCAAGATGCAGGAGAAGAAAAAGCGGGCAGGCAGGGCTGGAGCAGGCCCGGCACTGTCGAGCCCGCCCCTCTGCCCTGTGGCCTCCACCAGGCCCTGCTCCTTAATGGCCACCACTTCCCCAACTGCCAAGCCGAGATCTGGCCTTCAACATATTACAGGCCTTTGGAGGGTATTTAAAATCCAGATGACAGAAGCCCATTATGGACTCAGGAGGCTGAGGTAGGAGGATTGTCCCAGATTCAAGGCCAGCCTGGACTACATAGGTAAACACACACACGCACACAGCCCCAGCTGCCCACACCTCTGTGGCCAGGATTTGTTTCCTAGCCCTCTGTGCTGAGGGTTTGATATACCCCAGTGTTGTCTGAGAGCCCCCAGACTGAGTGTTTTGAGAGCAGGGGTCTGGGTCCCCAAGGTGTCCCACCCGGACTCTCCAAGGACCTCCCCTGGCCATGTGATCTTTGGATAGCAGTTTAACCTCCAGCCTTCAGGTCTGTTTTGCTTTAATCTGCAAAACCCGAGGGCCAGGCCCACTGGTGAGGTTACGTGGGGTTAGCAGGCAGTCCCCTGAACTCGGGCGCACCAACAGCGTGGCGTGTGAAGCCATCGCTGCAGCCAGGCGCTGCTGAGCCGCTCCGAGCTCTCGCCTGCATTTGGTTTCTATCTCATTGTACAGATGGAGAAACCGAGGCAGAGGGAGGCAAAGTCACTCCCCTGACTGGGAAGTTCATCACTTTCAGTGTGGGCACTGACGTTTAAGCTCCTTCAGGGCAGAATCGGGCTGTGCGCTGGGCCGGTGCCCCAGGAAGGAGCCAAGGCCGACTGAGCTGGTGACTGGCCCCGAAGGCCACGCCTCTGTTCCCTGGTACCCTGGAAGGCACAGGGACAGCTGTGCGCCCGCCCAGTGTTCCTGCGGGCCTGGAATGTAGTGGACGTGCGTGGCGTCTGCCCTGTGGTGTTGTTTTGTTTGCTGCGGTCTCATCGCTGAACCTGGGGCTCCCACAGACCAGGCAGGGGCTCCCCCCTGGGGTTGCATCTGCAGCCTTCTTTTCAGATTTTCATTTTGAGAGTGGGTCTCGCCAAGTTGGCCCAGGCGGGGCTCAAACTTGAGAACCGCCTACTTGAGCCTCCCAAGGGACCGCGTGTGCCCCAGGCACCGGCCCTTGTGTGCAGATGGAAAGGGTGTGTCCAGGTGTCAGCTCCCAGGGTCTGCTGAGAACAGGAAGCTGTCTCCCCAGTGGCGTGAGTGTAGAGAGACATGTGGGGACCTGGCCCTCTGAGTGAGTGGCTGTGCCTCTTGGGCCTCAGTTTACCCTTCTGTGAGGTGGAGGTGGCAACAGCACCCAACAGTAAGTTGTTGGGGAGCTTAAACCCAGTGCCTATAGGCCCAGCTATTCGGGAGGCTGAGGCAGGAAGATTTCTTGAACTCAGGTGTTAGAGGCCAGCCTGGGAACACAGTGAGACCACAGATCTAAAGAGAACAGCTGACTGATGAAATGCTTTTTTTTTTTTTTTTTTTTTTTTTGTACCGGGAATTAAACTCAAGACTTTGTGCTTGCCAGGCAGGTGCTTATGCTGCTGAGCTGTCTCCCCGGCCCCCAATTTAATGCTTTTGCCTAGTGCCTGGTATGCAATAGGTGCCCAGGACTGCTGTTAGAGTATTTCCATGCCCCCCTTGTCTCTCTCTTTTCACAAAAATGGCTTTGGTCCCAGGTGCAGCATGGCCCAGAAAGGCAGCATCAGGTTCTGGGACTATTTTTGGCATCCCCACTTGGGTATCTGCATTTAAAGTCATCCGCTGGGGCCAGCGTCACAGCCCCTACCAAGCAGGCCAAGGTCCTGGGTTCCATCCTCAGCACTCCGAACAGCAAACAAAACAAGAGCTGAGCGTGGCACTGGGAGGCGGAGGCAGGAGCAGGAGGATTGCAGCCAACCTGAGGCCAGCCTGTGCTGGTAGCGACTGCGAGGCCAGCCTGGACCCCTCGGCTGCTCTCCCACCCCTTGTTTTTCAACTGTGAAAAGCATCACTGTAGGAAGAGTAAAAAAAGCAAGAGAGGAGCCTCCCTCTCCTCCAGAACCCCTGTCTTGCTTTCTGCCAGCACCAGGCCATATCCACTTCATGTATATTTTTAAACATGTTTTTAATTGACATATAATTTACATAAAAACCCCATGCCGCTCTGAGGGAGCTCCGACGGGTCTTGTCTGCAGCCCACGTGGAGAGCGATGCGCAGCAGGCCCTCTGCCCCTCAACGTCCAGCCTCGGTGTCTCAGCTGTGGCGTCTCCTGTGCCTGCCCTGGGTACGGGTGATACTCTGCCAGCATCTCCAGCATCTTGCAGAGCCCAGGCAGGGCTCACACACCTCCACCCCGATTGTCAGGGAATGTGTTACAGCCAGTGCCTCCTGCAGGAGCCAAGAGATTTGCAGTCTTTTTAGTTTTATGGACTCTGTGTTTCTTTCTTTTTTCTGTGTTTCTTTTTTTTTTTTTTTTTTTTTTT